TCTTTTTTTCCTCTTCTTTCTTCTTCTGGTTGAGCTCTGATCATCCAGTCATTGAAGCCAGGTCAAGTGGGTATTATCTGCAAGTGTGGGTGTTCTTGTGGATGCTTACACTTTTCTGGGACTCTTAAGAGCCAATATTGGAACACTATCAGGAAAAATGTTCAACAATCAACAGTGCTCATTACAGAGATGCTCACAGAAGAGCTGAAGCTCCACTTTGGATTCAAAACAGAGGACTGCTATCCAAGTGCGTTGTGATCTTGCTTGACAGTGCACCTCCACACAACTCTGGTGACACTATTCAGAGTTTTCATTTTGTTTGAAAGCAGCCTTTTGAGAATGAAGATTCACTTCTGATGAAATGAGACAGCGGTGTGTTTGTGGCTGGCAGCTCAGCTGAAAACATTTTTAAATAAGGGCATATGAATGCTTGTTGATAGATGGACAAAGTGTATTGAAAAGCAAGGCATTTATATTGAAAAATGATGTATTTGTCTTATCTAAAAGTTGACTGAAATAAGTTCTACAGCCAGTGTAGATAATTTTTGACTCACCCTCATATTTCTAGACTAACTGCTCTGTGTTTAGGAAGATAGAGTTATTTGAAATTGGTAAGACTTGTCTTTTGACCTAATATGTGATGATAAAGTTTTGTGAATAATTCAGTGTTCTGAAGAGCATCTATTTACTGATTGGTATGGAGTTTGATAGATCCAGTAAATTCAACTCTCCACCCTTTCTTTTTGTCTCATTGTGGGGGTAATCTCCCAGTGGGATAGTAGGGCTCTCAACATCTACAGCTAGTTCTACCAGAGCTTTTTAATATATATTTGAGGCTATTTTACAAAGTATTTACAAATGTAGATTTGCCTTATTTTCATGGTGAATCCTTTCGATCATTACATGTTGCCCTTGTCTGTCCTACTAATGATGCTTTTGTCTTAAGTCTTTATTGTCCATTATTAGCATAGTCTTTCCAGCTTTCTTCTGATTAGTATTTGCTGTATTCTTTTTAACATCCTTTTCTTTCAACCTCCCGGGAGCCATACATAGAAGTGTCTCCTTTAAACAACATACAGCTGTATATTTTCAGTTGTGTCTGATAATCTTCATCGTTCAATTTAAAAGTTTAGTCTGTTCACATTTATTGTGATTACTAACAGGTTGGCTTTATTTCTACCATCTTTGTGCTTCCTGTTTACTCCTTTTCTGTTTTGTGGTTGGCTTTGGCTGGCATCCTAATTGTTGCTCTTTTATAGGTGATCTGTCTTAATTCCCTGGCCCCTTTACGATGTCTTGTGTTTGGTGTTCTACGGTGCCACTGCAGTGTGTGTAGGTATGAGTTTATTTGTCTTTATTCAGTTTGCTATTCTGTGTGTTACCCATTCTATAAACCTCTCAACCATTATCTTCCAATAACTCTCCCTTTTCATTCTCTCTCCTGTTCCTCTGGGACTTAGCAATTTGGCTTATGCTGGACTTTCTCATAGCCTCCTATTCTTATTTTCCACATTCTTAATATATTTGAGCTAGAATCTAAGTGAATCCTTCAGATCTGTCTTCAGGGTCATCGATTCCTGCTTTGACTCTTTGTAATCTCCTAAACTACTTATTTCAGTGATCATATTTTTTCATTTATAAGAGCTTTATTTGGTTCCTTCTCGTATCTGCTGTTACTTCAGGGAGTCTCATGTTGCTTATTCTATTGTTACAGCTTTTATTTTTTAATCATTTCACACATAATTGATAACATCAAAAATTTAAAATCCTTGGAGGACTTCTCTTTTTATTTTTCTCTGTCTGCAACTTCCATTACCTTGTATATTTGATCTTTGGTTGTAAGCTCATATTTATTTGCTTTTAACCTGTGGGAAATGGGGGGACAAACTAGAGGATACTTCCTTCCATGGAGAAGTGGTGCTCACTTGCTGGGAGCCCCTCATGCTTTCAGTCTCCTGGAGCAATCTGGGAGCATCAGGCTCATTTGCCCCAACTCCGTGTCCCCCAGCCACTGTCAAGTTCCTTGACCTGCAGCATTCCCCTGTTCTTGGGTCCCGATTGATTGGATCCTGAGGAGGTCCTTGTGCCTGGCTGCCACCGACATGTTTCCACTTGAGGCGGGAATGGACGTCAGAGGCCCTGGAGACCCACTCCACACCACTTTCTCCTTGTCTCCCCAGGCCTGGTCAGCATGACCCAGAACTTGGAGCCACTTCTAAAGAAACAGAACTGGGACTGGGCGTAAGTCTGGAGGATGAGGGTGGGTGACTGGGATCCTCCCAGGACTACGCAGTACTGGGTGGGGAGAGGGTGCTGGTGGGCTGTGGGTCCCTCTTACTCTACTGTTTCTCTAGGGTTCCTCTGGTCAAGCTGACTGTCCGGGTGGGGCTGGCGGTCGTTGGCGCTGTGCTTGGTGCCTTCCTCACTTTCCCAGGCTTGCGGCTGGCCCAGACGCACCGTGATGCGCTGATAATGGCAGAAGACAGGCCCGGGCTGCAGTAATGTGACGGGGAGGCAGCGGTGGCATTGAGGGGCGTGTGTGGGGGTTCCTGGGCTTCACTTGTCTATCCCTCACCTGTCCACTCCCACAGGCTCCTCCTGCATGCCAGCTTCCTGTCACCCCTGTTTGTGCTGTGGCTTTGGACCAGGCCCATCGCCCGGGACTTCCTGCAGCAGGCGCCCATTGGGGGTTCATCCATCTCCTTGTGCGTGCAGGATGATGGGGTGGAGAGAGACATATCTGTGGCTCAGGGAGGGAATCTGCTCTGGGGGTCTAGCCTCGCCAGCCCCCCACCCTCCCTCCCTACACAGGCTGTCAGACTCAGCCTTTGACTCGGCACGCCTCTGGGTGCTGGTGGTGCTGTGCCTGCTGCGCCTGGCGGTGACACGGCCCCACCTGCAGGCCTACCTGGGCCTTGCCAAAGTGCGTGTGGAGCAGCTTCGGCGGGAGGCCGGCCGCATCGAGGCCCGTGAGATCCAGCGACGGGTATGGTACCAGCAGGGGGAAACTGAGGCTGGTGGGGAAACTGAGGTCAGCTGAGAGGAGGTCCAGTGGCGGGTACAGCAGTGGTGTGTGGGTGGGGTTCCTGGTCTCTGGGTACAGTGTTGGCCTGAGCTCCCGCCCTTCTGCCCCCAGGTAGTCAGGGTGTACTGCTACGTGACGGTGGTCAGCCTACAGTATCTGACGCCCCTCATCCTCACCCTCAACTGCACACTGCTGCTCAAGTCGCTGGGTAAGGGGGCAGTGGGGGTCTAGGAAGCCATCGCTGGGTGAGGGGCACAGAGAGGCCAGTCTAGGGTAGAAGTGTGGGTTCTGGGCGTCTGGCCCCTCCTGAGCCTTCCCTACTTTCCCCTCTCACAGGTGGCTACTCCTGGGGCCTGGGTCTGGCTCCCCCACAACCCCTAACCCCATCCTCAGAAGATGCTGCCCCTGCTGGCCCCGAGGGGGATTCGGCCCAAGAGACAGCGGCCCAGCTCGTGGGGGCACTGGGCAGCCTGTTCACGCCCCTGTTCTGCCGCGGGGTCCTCTCCTTCCTGCTTTGGTGGACAGCTGCCTGCCAGCTGCTCTCTAGTCTCTTTGGCCTCTATTTTCACCAACACCTGGGGGGCTCTTAGCCATTCGACCTGGACCTTAGGGTCCTGTCCTGCACCCCACACCACAGTGCCTGAGCCAGGAAACTCAGAGCCATCTTCCAGCCAACAACTTCTGTTCTTCTAGTGTGTGTCTCACAGGCGGCAGTACAGGGACTGAACTCTGGACAAATAAAGGGTCAGACTGCTCCCTAAGAATGAGGTCTGAGTGGGCTTCAGTGGAGTGGGAGGGGTCTTCCTGCACTCCCTTGTCGTTCGGGCCACTTGAGTGTGGGGTGGGCTGAGGGTGGGGATGGTGAAAGCCAGGGCGGAAGTGTCACAGGGAGAAACAGAGGGGTGAAGAGGAGAAGATAACGGAAGGAGAATGGGAAGGCTCACTTTGGCAGGAGCAGGAGAGGTGGGGAGAGTGAGTGGGTGAAAAGGCCACGCAGGCAGGTGGGTGGGCGAGGGAAGTGGGCTGACATGGAAGTGAAGGGGAAGTCCGCTGAGGGCCTGGCCGGCTTTACCCTGAGTTCACGTAAAAGTCACAGCAAACTGTGTGAGGCAGGGGATGTGAGGGCCACTGCATGGGCAGGGGGTATATTGTGTGAGCTCATGCATCTGTCCAGAGACACGGACTGGGTGAAACACCAGGCCATCTTCATGCCTGTGACACCGTTGCTCTGCACGCCCAGCCCCGCCCTGGCTTTGCGCTTCACCAAGACACTCCTGTTGGATGCTTCACCTGCTCCAGGTGTGCGTGCTGTGGAGAAGCAGCCTCCCTTGCCACTCATAGCCTAGGGCCTTTAATGGAACTAAGACCACAAGAAAGCACTGTGTCATGCAGAGAAGGGGCCCAACCAGAGGCCTGCTGGACATGGAGACTGGAGCCGGGAGGCGTTCCCCATCAACCGCCAGTTTAGTGACTGGGCACACATCCCTGTACTCAGGTATGGGCAGATAGCCAGGGGTCAGAAGAAAACAGACCCAAATGGAAATATGGGGAAACTGACCATTGAGGGTGAAGAAAACTTAACAGACAAACCATCCAGGATACTACTATGTTGTTGTTAAAGTGCCATGGAGTTGGTTCTGACCCCATAGCGACCCTGTATAGGGTTTCCGAGGAGTGGCTGGTGAGCTTGAACTGCTGACCTTGC